ATATAATACTGCAAACATTTCCTTGACAGCAGTTAACCCTTTCAGTCGCACAATTGTAACAAGGTTGTGAGATAATTGTCACAAGGTTATGAGACAACAGATAATTGTCACAAGATTGGGATGAACTCTCCTTGCAAAATCAGCATCTTCACACTGCAGTCAAACTAAATGGAAACCTATGGCAACCTCCTGTTAAAAGCCTACACTGGTGAAGCCAATAAATTTACAAACCATCAGAGAATAAGCTTCACAAAGTAACCAAATTTGCCAACAATCACAAAATCAACCCCCTCCCCTCCCTGCCTCAAGGCAAACTGGAGAGCAGAACAGAAACAACCAAAATGTTAACATCTTAGTTGTAAAGAAGATAAAAGGCTGATCTGATAGAGGTCTTCAAGTTTTATGATAAGATAAACAGTAATAAATTATTTCCATCGGTGGATGAATCAGTCACAAAAGGGCACAAATTCAAGATAATCACAAAAGACTCTAAGCAAGAATTTTGTAGAATGCTCAAATTAGTATCTGTTCTTGTATTGTAAGAAATCAAACACCTGCTATCCTTTGTGTGGGAGTAAAAATGAGTAGGATGCCACCCACAGGCTTGCATGGAAAAGGGTCCAAAAATATTCTGAGCATGACACTTCTGACGAGATAATGTGCAGCATGCAATGTTCCTTTGTCAAACATCTGTTTTACAATACATAGTGCTATCCTTGAACTTTCCAAAAAGGGGAAGTGTCCTTCAGGTGTTAAACTCTTATTTTTTTAACGCAAGGGTATGTGCAACAACAAAATTTGTTTGTGCAACTTTCCATATGTATAAGATACAGGTATCTGTTCACCCAGGTGCTTTCGCAAACATTAATATGTGTCATTTACTTTACTAAATAGATGCCAGAGCTTTTGTTGTATCAATAAATTAATTCTAAATATGTATTTGCTTTAACAGTAGTCGTTTTAAAATTAAATTAGTTTTTGTTTGTAGTACAAAAATATTCTTTTCTAAAGTGAACCACTTTGGCAGAGTGCCATTATGGTTATTAATATGTAACATGAATGTCATCTGCATTTCAAAATAGAATAACCATTTTGAAATTATCATTTAATATTTCAGAAGCTGAAACATGGGTAAGTTGTACACACTAGAGCTGAAAATATGATTCTGGATTAAAGTTGCAAAATGTGCTTTCTGGTTTGTGAGAAAAAATAATTTTGTCCCCAATATAAGTCTACAATATTCCACTACTGAGTCTATCCTACACCAATTACTGAACCTAGTAAACCTTGTATTTATTTTGTTTGCAAATCGGAAATGCTGTTATAAACACATAAGGAAATGTTAATCAACACATGATAGAGCCTGGTGCATTCCTCAGTAATATATGCGAACCAAATAGAGCAGAAATTAATGAGTGCTGTTTGGTTTTACTGCTGGCCTAAATGACAAAAATAAAACAAAACTACTTTAGATGTCTGATTAATAACAGATACTTTAAATATAACATATTTCATACTCAGGGTATAAAAAGAAAATATAGAGTGGTGTATACTGGTATATAAGAGCACTAACACGTGCTGACCTGGATGGATTTGTGCCTGCAAATGCACCCACTGCTAAATTCCAAACATTAGCTGTGACGTGGGCATTAATTCACGTTAGATAGTTAGGCTGCAATTAGCTTTACTTGATGCACCTTTGGAAACACTGCATATTCTGATATACAGTATCTTAGTTCCCATTGGTGCAAATTAATCCACTGTGACAGAATCTGTCAGTCACTACTGTAGTGAGCAACCATAGAGGTTGATGCTGCCAGAGCCTGAGATGCAGAAGCGCTGGCGCGAGCCAATCAGGAGCAAACCTAGCAGTAAGTCGGAAACTGGTTGTTAGTCAATTGGCGGATCACTTTTCCGGGGGTAATAATCCCTTCAAAAAAACAATAATAATGTGGTAAATCAATCCATGACTGTTTGTGGGACGCTGCTGCGCGCAATTGGCTGCCGCATTTCGCCCACAAAATATACAGTCAATTCACTTTACAGTATATTCTGTGAAGCACTTTGAGATATCTCAACAACCTGATAAGGCGCTATATCAAATGCAAGGATTATTAGCATTATTATAATAATAATAAAGCTTTGTATAAGCTTTGGATAATTGGCTGTAATTGTGCTGGAACATATGAAGCATATGAGGAGGGAATTCTTGAGATTGGAAGAGCAAAAGAACTTTGTCACTACAGGTGAATATCATTTTACGATATTTTATTCTTCTTCCAGCTAGGGGGTCCTCTGTGAACAGTGAATGGAAATAGAAATAGAATAGAAATTGATCTTTATGATCTCAGTTGGATGGTAAATGTGTTACTGACATCCAAAACACACCAAAAAGTAACACTTATTTGCATGAGTGCACCAGCATCGAGTAACTGAGAAAGAAAATACCTTACCATAATGTCTCAACAGCGTGCTATATGTGAAAGATGGTGTCTCTTTATACATTACTATCAGTTCAAAATAATCTCAGATCTGGTCTAAAAATTCCTAACTCCGGTAGAGTACTGAATAACAATTTCCTGCCTTAACATTGTCATTGTAAAAGATTCACTGCTGTGTTAAACTATGTTGAAATGTTCAAATTCATGCTACAGAAGCTGCCTCAATGCATTGGTAGCAATTCAGTATGAAATCACACAAGAGGTATAAAATTCACTCCAATGTCTTTAGGTTCTGTACTTGAATGGTTCAGCTCTCATACCGTCTCCAATTTGTCTCTACCAACGGTTTCTCTTCCAGTCCCCGCACAGTTTTGTGCGGTGTTGCTCAGAGCTGTCCTTGGTCCCCTCCTCTTCAAACTCAACATGCTCCATCTTGGTGATATCATCTGCAGACATGGGGTCAACCTCCATCCAACTGATGCCCTGACAGAGATTGAGTCCTGGATGAGAGCCAACTTTCTACAGCTGAATGTCAACAAGACTGAGGCTCTCCTGATTGGCTCACGCCAGCGCCTCCGCAACCCAGGCACTGGCAGGATCAGCAGCCACGGATACACACTCCACCTCACCAAGCCGGTCAGGAAGCTGGGCATCTTGTTTAACCTTCAACAGTGTTCTGTGAAGCGCTTTGGGACGTCCTCCCGACGTGAAAAGCGCTATATCAAATGCAAGGATTATTAACTGTCCTTTCTCCCCCATATCCATGCCATGACCCGTTCTGCCTTACCACACCTCCACAACATTGCCCAACTCCGCTACAGCCTCACCCCTCAGGCCCCCGAAACCCTCATATAAGCATTCGTCACCTCAAGGATCGACTATGGAAACTCCCTCGTCAGCCTCCCCAACTCTTCCCTCCACGAGCTGCACTTCATCCAGAACTCTGCAGCTCGAGTCCTCTCCCACATCAGGCTCCATGACCCCATCACCCCCACCCTCGCCCGACTCCACTGGCTCTCCATCCCTCAGAGGATAGAATTCAAAATCCTGGTCCTCACTTTCAAGGCCCTCCACGGCCTTGCCCCTATCTCTCTGACCTGCTAAACTCTTATCAACCTGTCCGCTCCCTCCTCTCAGCCGGCTCTGGCCTGCTCCGTGTCTCCCGCCCGACCCGCCCTACCATCAGCGGCCGGGCTTTTAGCCTCTCTGCCCCCACCCTTTGGAACTCCATCCTGCAATCACTTTGCCTTGCTTCCTCCCTTGCCTCTTTCAAGGCACGATTCAAGACCTTCCTTTTCAACCGTACCTTCAGCCACCCCCCAACCTCTCTGCCCTCCCTCATCCCCAACCCTGGCCCCCCATGCACGGGTCCTGAACCCCAACTGTTCAGCGGCTTGGGACAGCCTCCTGACGTGAAAGGCGCTTTACAAATGTAATTTTGTTCTTATTTTATTTATATATTTTTAATATCTCCACTGTAGGTCACCATGTGACTTTCTCAAGGCTTGAGGGATTAGATCTGTATACACTGGAACAGAGGAGACTGATGGATCTTGAGGTCTTCCAAGATTCTGTAAAGAATCATCCACAGCTGGCAAGATCTTCAGTCAACACGTAGATGTTTTATTCCCCCAAATTGGCCTTGGGGATATTTGGCTTTGAATGGTTGGTAAAAGGATAGAAGTGCAGTTATGATATTGAGTGCAAGGAGGTGATTTAACCCAGAAGCATTGTGAGGCCTGTGACTCTTTTTCCATTGTTTTAATAATCCATACACATGTTGGGAAGAGGAATAATAATAATCCTTGCATTTGATATAGCGCTTTTCACATCTTCTAGACGTCCCAAAGCGCTTCACAAAATACACTGGAAAGTGAATTGACTGTATATTTGTGGGCGAACGCGGAAGCCAATTGCGAACAGCAATGTCCCACAAACAGTCGTAGATTGAAAATGACCAATTTATTATTGTTTTGTTTTTTGGAGGGATTATTATGTAAGGTGACTACTGCAAGGATTATTGTTGTATAATAATGAGGGTCAAAATTTGCTTGAAATGTAAATGTGATGCTTATATTTTCACATTCTCCAAAATTTGTATAATTTGCTCACATCTACAATCTCAACTTTGCTTTCATCAATCTCTAAATCTTGTTTAATGCCTCTTTAAAAGCAGTGTATGCAAATTGCAAATATTCTAAATATGACAATACTGAGTTTCATGCTGAAAATAACTGCTCTGATCACTTGCTTTTAAAATGTTCTCTCAAATGTATCTTTGTGCAACAAGGAAGACCAGCATTTTTAAAAATATTTTAATACTTTGCTCTGTGACTAATTAAGAAAAGAGAATCTGGAGTATAATCCCTTCTCTGTATTTGTACTACCAACTTCCAGAGATTGATTCATCCCCAATGTAAATAAATTGCTCATGATTCCACTATCTTCAATTATAGGCAGAGATATAAGAGATCATCAAATGAACCATCCTCAAAGGAGTCATTACTCCAGATTACCCAGCAAATAAATGTTCAAAATTGAAATAGACAGAGAAAAAGCTAGAAGGAAAGTTTAATTTTATTTTCATATCCTTCAACCAAAATGCACCTATTTCAAAACTAATGCACATTGATCAATGACAATTTTGTTACATTTACAAATCACTGTTAACTTAACATCTATCATAAAAGTGATCAAGAAATTATCCAGTACCTTTAGGATGAATATGGTAATTTAGTTTAAGATGAGTACCAAACAATACATGAAAATTACAATCACTTGCAAGACATTTTGTTCATTTTATAGGCATGCAGCTAGCTTCCTTAAGCACCGTAGGCATATGTTTAAATTCTCTGTTCTCATTTGATGCTTATGATTAATAGCTGCTTCACAGTATTGTCAACCCAAAGAATAAATGAAGATATATTCTCCTATGTAAAAGGTTTTCAAAAAGTACAATCTTAGAAAATTTGAAAATACATGCGAAAAAAAATCTTTACCTCATTTTGTCATTTTAAATAGTAAATACACAAATACATGTTTACAAAAGAAATGCTACACCTTTAAACAGTGAACACTTAAGAAACTGTCATAACAATGTATGCGCTTTATCATCAAAGTGTATGTGTGTATAGGTGTGTTTGTGTGGATGAGCATAATATGGATCTGAACATGCGCAAGGAAAAAGGGGAAATTCAGGGTTCTGGATATTAAACAAAATGAAACCATTTCATATCTAGTATACAGAATCTAGATTTAGATGTAAAATTTAATCTCCAAATTGAGACATATTTTAAAATAAACAAGCTTATTAAGTCGGTGTGAAAATTCAAAATGTTGACTCTAGCCAATAACTATTCCAATGGATGTTATCATAAACAGGATTATGATGACTGACGTGTAATTATTAATATCTGAAAGCTGAGGATGCAAAATAAGGAAAACCCAAGGTTAGGACTCAATGATGGATTCATTACGTGTCCATTCTAGAACCCATTTCCTTCTCTTCACCAGCAATCACGTTAAGACTGAGGAAAACCAGAGTACAAAGGTCAGGCTCAAACTCAGGTCTCCCATTTGTTATTCCAAAACATCAAGAGTGTCTGGTTGATCATTTAACAGGAATAAATAACTGAAAATGTAGGATTTCTGTTGACTTTAAATACATTTTTATACGCACTACAATCTTAAAAAATATTTTAAGCTTGGTATAAATATTAAAAGTTTTCTCAACATTTTCATTACACTAAAAAGGCAGGTGTTGTGCATTTTCCACTAACCATTATAACAAACCCACAGTAACCTAGAAAAATAAAGCTATCACCAAAAGTCAATGTATTATTCCAAAATCTAAGTTAGTAGGTTTTACATGGATGTCTAGTTGAACTTTAAGATTTTTCATTCATACATATTTCAGTACCTTTTTTTGCAAATTTCTCTGTGCATCAATATTAGTATTACAAAAGGTATTTCTCAATTTCAAACTTCACAAAAAGGCTGGTTTAAAAATGTCTAACAGGAAGAAAACCTCATAGATCTTGAAGATTTCAACAAATATTTCAATCAGCTTTCTTCGTCTTCCGTTTTCTGACATCAGTTTCATCAGAAGTAGCACCCGAGGAAGCAGTACATTGATCATCCAGTGGCTCGCCTTTATCACAAGGTTCGGGAGTATTAAAGTGTGGGTCAGCAGAATATGATTGCCAACTGAATGCCATATTGTACAAAGCAGCTTCCATTGGTGCAAAAGGAGAGTGATGAATTTGGAAGAGTACCATTGCAACCTAAAAAAAAAACACATTTTCCAAGTTGTTCAGATCAATCTAAATGAGTGCAAAAGAATGGCAAAGCAACTGAATAGGATTCATAAGATAAGAAACTTATCAGGAGTTTTTGACATCTTGTACAGTTTAAAATATAAAACCAAGTTATTTAGATAGTGCTGAGGTAACGGAACTGAATTCAAATTGACATTCTTGACAATTAATATATTTTTTAAAAAGCAGCAAAATCTGGATGCAATTACAACTTAGTGATGAATTTCTTCAATTTTAAAAATATTAAGGTACTTCAAGTTGCCATAAAGGTAATATAGTACCATTCAGCATATTTATTTTTCTGAAGTAGAATCTTGAATACAGACATTTAAATCTTTTCAACACAAGCTATGTACCTGCTTCAAAAATAGAACCACAGCACAAGAATCCCAACACAATAATAGACCCTCCCTCTAATGCACTATTTCACAGAAGTGTAAAAAGCTTTCAGAAAAAACAAAATACTAAAGCAAGTAATATTTCCCTTCCCTTCAGGTTGACTCCTATACTTATAGAGTGACAACACCCATATGGGAGCACCAGTAAGAAACTATAAAGGTGCAAAGGTGCATTATAATGTTGATTGAGAAAAGTTTCGTATTCACTTTACACTTCTTAATCAACATTATAATGCACCTTTTCACCTTTATAGCATTTGCTACAACATAGGCAACCCAGTTGGACAATTCAAAGAGTGTTCTGCAAGAGTGCTTTGTTCTTCTCAAATCCACAGAAACCCATCACCATGCTTAGGAGTATCCAAACCAGTCAGAGTTCCAGATGCATGCCACCTACACAGAGAAATCTGTCTAGGGTGGAATGCACTCTTTCAATGTGGGAATACACTTTGTTTACCTAATTCTAGAAAGTGTCAGGAATAGTTTGCCAAGAGCCAAGGCTTGGGGGACCCCAGCGCAATGCAGTGAGGTATTTAACCAGCTAAAATCACCTATCCGTTAGGACTTTTGGGTGTAGTTTTGGCTTTAGGTAAGCAGTCACTGATTTGGAGAGTGGAGCCAGGAAAGCGTGAGGAGTCGAGGCCTAGCAGAGTGTATAAAGCCTAGCCAAGGTAAGCAGTTGCTGATTCGGAGGGCGGAGTATCTGCAGAAAAACGGCAAGTGACATCAACGTGACGTTACACTCAAACAACAGAACCAGAATTTTTTTAAAAAAAACTAAACAAAAATTAAATAAAAACCATAATAGAGTGAGAAAGAGAGGAGAGAATAGCATGGCAGGTGTTGTGCGATGACTGCAGTATATGGGAGTTGATGGAGGACAGCCTGAGCCCGGGCGACTACATCTGCAGCAAGTGTCTGCAACTTAGAGGCGCTGAGCTGGAATCCGAGGTGCAGACATTGCGCAGCATTAGGGAAGGTGAGAGCTTCCTGGGTAGTTTTGTCCAGGAGACAATCACTCCCCTGAGGCTCAGTAAATGTATGGATACTGCTACTAGTCAGGGACAGGACAGTGTGACTGACAGTCAGGTAGGCAAGGGGACCCCAGAGAGTGGTGGAGAAGCCTCAGGCTTTAACCTTGTCCAACAGGTACGCAGTACTTGCAACCTGTGTGGACAAGGAAGTCTGTAAGGAGGAAGATGGGCAAACTCACCCCAACACCTCTATACAGGAGGCCATACAAGTGTGGGGAGCAAAACGGAATGTGGTTGTGATAAGGGACGAGACAGTCAGCCGGACAGACACTCTTCTCTGCAGCTGCAACCACGAGTCACGAAGGCTCTGTTGCCTTCCTGGCGCCAGGGTTAAGGACATCTCTTTAGGGCTACAGAAGAATTTGAAGCAGGAAGGGGATGATCCAACTGTGATGATCCACATAGCAACCAACAATATAAGTAGAACTAGTAGTGACGACCTGAGGAGTAAATTCAATGAACTGGGAAAAAAATTAAAAGGAAGAACTTCTAAGGTCATAATCTCTGGTTTATTACTTGAGCCATGTGCAAATTGGTACAAGGACAAATAAATTAAGGAGTTAAACGCTGCCTGAAAGAGTGGTGCAGGAGGCAGGGGTTTTGTTTTATGGGCCACTGGCACCCGTATTGGGGGAAAAGGGAGCTGTTCCATCGAGATGGGTTCCACTTAACCGGGCTGGGACCAATGTCCTGGCAAAACGATTAAATGGGGAGATAGGCAGAGCTTTAAACTATTAAGGTGGGGGGGAGGGAGATTTACAACTACAGTGAAACGTAAACCGACATTGCAAGGAACAGTCATGGCTGTAGAGCAGAGCAGCGACTTGGGAGATAAAGAACAGAGTGTGTCAAGAAGGGACAAAAGCTCAACAAAGGAAATAGGGCATTAACGAATAGGGGAAATAGTAAAAAGTCAAAATTAAATGCACTATATCTGAATGCACGAAGCATTTGTAACAAGATAGACATATTAAGTGCACTAATAGAGATAAATGGGTACGATTTAGTGGCTATTACTGAGACATGGTTACAGGGAGGGTAGGAACTAAACATTCCGGGGTATTTGACATATAGGAAAGATAGGCAATGTGGAAAACGAGGTGGGGGGGTAGCCCTGCTAATAAAGCATGAGATAAAAACAGTAGAGAGGAAGGATTTTAAATCAGAAAATCAGGATGTAGAGTCAGTATGGGTGGCGGTCATAAACAACAAGGGGCAGAAAACACTAGTGGGAGAAGTTTATAGATCCCCAAACAACAGTTACAGTATTGGGCAGAGTACTAATCAGGATATTAGAGGAGCATGTAACAAGGGGAATGCACTAATAGTGTGTGATTTCAATCTTCATATAGACTGGGAAAACCAAATTGGCAAAAGTAAATTGGAGGAGGAATTTATAGAATCCATTGGAGATAGTTGTCTAGAACAGTATGCTGAGGAACTAACCAGGGAACAGGCTATCCTATATCTTGTTTTGTGTCATGAAATATGGCTAATCAGCAATCTGGAAGTTAAGGCTCCTCTTGGGCAGAGTGACCATAACATGATGGAATTTAACATTAAGTTAGAGAATGATACAGTTGAATAATAATAATAATCCTTGCATTTGATACAGCGCTTTTCACGTCTTCTAGACATCTCAAAGCACTTCACAGAAGAATGTAAATAGAATTGACTGTATATTTGTGGGCGAAACGCGGCAACCAATTGCACACAGCAGTGTCCCACAAACAGTCGTGGATTGAAATGACCAATTAATTATTTTTTTGAGGGATTATTATCAGGCGTGTGGAGTAAGGAAACTTGCCCAAAGTTTCACTCTGCCAGGAATCGAACCCAGGTCTCTCGCTTGCAAATCGAGTGCTCTAACCACTGAATCCGAAGCAAGGGTCTTAAATCTAAATATAGCCAACTTTGCAGCTATGAGAGAAGATTTGGCTAAAATAGATAGGAAATTAGATTAAAAAATGACAGCAGACCAGCAATGAAAAACGTTTAAAGATAATTCCCAGCAATCACATATTCCCTTGAAAAATAAAATTACCACGGGTTAATCGTGGCTAACTAGAGAAGTTACGATAAGCATAAAATTAAAAGAGGCCTATAATACTGCCAAAAAGGACAATAAACCTGAGGATTGGGAGGATATTAGAGATCAGCAAAAGAAAACCAAGAAACTGATTAAAAGGGAGAAAATGGAATATGAGGGTAAACTAGCTAGAGATATAGACAGATTATAAGAGTTTTTACAAGTACATAAAGAGAAAGAGACTATCAGAAGTGACTGTGGGTCCAGTGCAGGCAGAGACAGGAGAAATTATAATGGGGAATAAAGAAATGGCAAAGTCATTAAACAAATATTTTGCTTCTGTCTTCATGTTAGAGGACACTGAAAACTTACCAAAAATAGAGGGGAACCTGGAGGCTAATGTTATTGAGGAATTTAAAGAAATGAACAGCAGTAAAGCAATAGTACTAGAGAAATTGATAGGATTAAAAACTGATAAATCCCCTGGACCTAATGGCCTGCATCCTAGGGTTTTAAAAGAGGTGGCTGTAGAGATAGTGGTTGCTTTGTTTTTGATCTTCCAAAATTCCCTGGATTCTGGAATGGTTTCCATTAATTGGGAGGTCGCAAATGTAATGCCGATAATTAAGGCGGGTGGGAGACAAAAAATGGGGAACTATAGATCAGTTAGTCTGACATCAATGGTAGGGAAAATTCTAGAGTCCTTAATTAGGGACATCGTCGTGGGGTACTTAGAAAATCATAACATGATTAGGCAGAGTCATCATGGCTTTATGAAAGAGAAATCATGTTTAACAAATCTTTTAGAGTTTTTTGAGGATGTAACTTGCAGGTTAGATAGGAGGGAACCAGTAGATGTGGTGTATTTGGATTTCCAGAAGGCATTGGACAAGATGCCACATAAAAGGTTGTTGCATAAGATTACAGCCCATGGAATTAAGGGTAATATATTAGCATGGATTGGAGAGTGGCTAACAGGAAGAAAATAGAGAGTAGGGATAAACGGGTCCTTCTCAGATTGGCAGGATGTGACAAGTGGAGTGCCACAAGGATCAGTGCTTGGGCCTCAATTATTTACTGTCCATATCAATGATTTAAATTAGGAAATAGAACTTAACATATCTAAATTCGCAGATAAGAAGAAGATAGGTGGGACAGTAAGCTGTGAGGATGACACACGAAGAATGCAAAGGGAAATAGACAGGCTAGGTGAGTGGGCAAGAAGGTGGCAGATGGAGTATAATGTGGGGAAGTGTGAAGTTATTCACCAAGATAGTAAAAATAGAAAAGCGGATTATTTTCTAGAGGGGGAGAGACTAGTTCAGAGGGATTTGGGTGTCCTTGTACACCAGTCTCAAAAACGTAGTATGCAGGTACAGCAAGCAACTAGGAAAGCTAATGCCATGTTGGCGTTCGTTGCAAAAGGGTTAGAGTACAAGAGTAGGGAAATCTTGCTGCAGCTGTAGAAGGCCTTGGTGAGACCGCACCTAGAATACTGTGTTCAGTTTTGATCTCCTTACTTAAGAAAGGACATACTCGCCTAAGAGGGGGTGCAGCGTAGATTCGCGAGGTTGGTTCCTGGGATGAGGGGGTTGACCAATGAGGATAGGCTGAGTACACTAGGCCTATATTCTCTAGAATATAGAAGAATTAGAGGTGATCTTATAGAAACCTATAAGATTCTTAAGGATCTTGACAGGATAGATAGTGAGACTGTTTTCCCTGGTTGGAGAATCTAAAACTAGGGATCATAGTCTCAAGATTAATGGTCAGTCTTTTCGAACTGAGCTGAAGAAACATTTCTTCACTCAGAGAGTAATGAATTTGTGGAATTCTCTACCCCAGAAGGCTGTGGATGCTCAGTCCTTGAACATATTCAAGACTGAGGTTGATAGATTTCTAAAGGACAGAGGGATTAAGGGATATGGGGATAGGGCGGGTAAATGGAATTAGGTTAGAAGATCAGTCATGATCGTATTAAATGGCGGGGCAGGCTCGAGGGGCCAAATGGGCTACTCCTGCTCCTACATTTTATGGTCTTTAGGGTGTAGCCTTGGGCTGTCCTCCTTACGTGAAATGTGCTATACAAATGTAATTTGTTGTTTTTGTAGTGATAACAGCTGAATGGGAAGAATCCCCGTCCCGTTAACCACATAAAGTCATGCATCTTTTCTGACCACATAAAATCCTATCTTTACATATATCTACTTTCCACATTAGATTGCTCAGGTAATGGATATAACATTAGAAGTGATAGACTGACTGAAAAATAAACTACTGACCATTCCAGATAGGAAAATAGTACATCACTCATAAGAAGGAAATACCAGTGCCTAATTCACTGTCTCATTAAAATGTTCATTTAACAAGTAAAATTATAAACTGTATTTTGACCAATTTAAATTGGTTTACAAAGGATCAAAATGGGGAATAACAATTTTCAATAGCAACTGAACTTTTTTAAAAAAAAAACATTTTTGAAGGCTGAAATACAGTTGCTACCACCAATTATACAAATCGCAAAGGGAATCATTTCTAATCCATTCCAGTATATGTGAAACAGCTGAAAATGAACTTGAAAAATGTGCCCTAAACACTAATGTATTCCAATATTATGATATGTGATCTGATAAGGTTCAAGGGGAGATGAAATTCATTTGGTGTCTTATTATTTTAATATTCAAAATGTCAAAAATTGTTTGAGTCAGAGTGGCATATCCATTTTCGGAGGCAAAATTGACTTTCTCGTTTGAGGGTACCATTAGACAGATTTCCAAGTCCAAGAACCCAAAAAATAAAAATGTGTCATGTCTGCTATCACAAGTTATCAGTACGATTCCCAATATGTACAATCTGATTTTTGAAATCAAAGGGAAAAAGAGAAGAAGAATATGCAGCCCCAATGGAAGAGCCCCAATGGAATGGAACAGATAGTGATTCTATCTAAGAAAATTGAAATGCCATTCTAACTGACTACATCTGACATTTTGAATATCGAAATAATAAGTCACCAAATTGGTTATATTGACGACTCTTCTTTTTAAAAAGGTTTTTCTGTGAACTAATGTGTCCATTGCCAGCAGTTCTCAGTGCTTTGTGGTTCAATTAATCTAATCTACTACCATCAATCAAATATCGTGTGTCTTGTACACACAAAGTCTTAGCAAAACTCCTATGAAACAAATAGCCTTGGTCAGAGAAGACCAACCAGTATTTTAAACAGATGGGTAACAGATCCAAAACAAACCAAAAATACAGGCAGGAATGAGCCTTTACAACTTCCTTGGGCCTTAAGACTCAGCAACTGCAAGAAAATGCAAGTTTGAATCTAGCACTGCTGTTAAATAATTGCTGGTTAGTGTTTTGCTAGAAAAGATATTGGACTTTGATATATACAACTAAAATAGCCTATAAGTCTGTAAAGAATTATAATCATTGATATAATAAGGATAATGAACTGGGAGAAACTTTTAATCTCATTCACACAATTCCCAGTTAAAGTGAGATGAACCATAATTCATGAATGCCACCTTTGAGCAAATAGGGGAAAGAGTAGGGAGATACAAAGGCAATCTAATATTTTAGAACTGTCCTTGATTAAAACATTCAATCCAGAGAGCATTGGGGTAGACAGATATGAAAAATAAATCACTGTACACTGTTCATTTTGGACTGTTCATAGTCACTGCAAATGCTTGACAGAAGAGCAGCTTCATTGGACATATTTTCTGTCTGAAATACGTGATTTACTGCCATGCAAAAACAACTTTCTAGTCGTTAAATATCTGTTGGGATGTATTCGTATTTTACAAAACAATTTTAGTGCAGTGATGAGGATAGAAATTTAGCAATGTAATCAATTTTGGGTGTGGAAAAGGAAATTATGCATTCAAATCTTCAGCTGTTTAGGTGGTATATTTATTTATTAGCAATAGAGGTTCTTAAATACTGTATTAGCAAGCAATCCCATCATTTACTTTTTTTTAAAAAGGCAAAAATATCATCCCAACTGTTGAGCTGAGAGCAAATTCAATTAATAATTTAACTTCAGATTCAATCAGTGGAATTTTGAAAGTCAGCTGGAATACTTGATTTACATGTCGTCTAAGACTTACAGCATTTCTGCCAGAAAGAATCTTGGGCAGATATCAGGATTATGTGTAGTTCAAGACAGTTTCAAGGATCCAAAAGACAAAATTCAAAGTACAAAACAACATGTGAAAGATAATTTAGATGGGCAGCAAAGTTAATTTAAATCCCTTCTTTCCTACATAAATAAGGATTAACTGAAAATATACAAGGCTAAAAAGAATGAGATTTGTAGAATTTATTGTAATGATGAAGAGCTACTTTTTGTAACTAGCTTATATAAACTTTATTAAATTCAAATAAAAATGTTGAGGATTATTGTGATAACTAAGATTTTTTTAAAGAAATGAAAAAATTAATTTATGTAGCTCCAATGACAAGATTATATTTATAATGAAAACAATGGTGGTATCCGTTAACTGATAATTTTGCTTCAGATCAGCTTTTCTCTGGAAATTAAGAATTAAATCTCAAGGAACTACTGTTTTGCAGAAGTTGATAGTAAAATATTGGTCCATGGATAACCAAAATAAAACAAGTGTATGCTGCGTAAAAATTATTCATTTCAATTTAAAAAATTACAACATTTTTACAGTCTTGTATTTTCATGGGTTAAAAAGTAATGCAGGATGCCGTATGACGTACAAAAAATGGCCAGCCATAGTCAGAGAAATAAACATTGCTTGGAAAATTTCATGGCACGTCAAGCTTGCAGCATACAAGACCCATATGCAAATAGTTCTCCTTTATGTATCTGAGCTCCAGAGGATGCAGTGGAGAGGCTTACTCTGGCCCCACTTGCAAAGCCCAAGATCAACCAGTCAGGTGGATTTGTTGCAAACACAGGAACGACTACCAGGGAGTGAGGGCTCCGGCCTACACTGACCTGTCACTAAGCAACCTGGAGACAGATTCACAGCGGTCAGGTCTATTTGCCAAGGTCCCTCACATGAGGACTTGGATTAAGCAGCCGGTGCTGAGTAAGCCTTGTACGCAGGATTGGACTTGGATCTTGGGAACATCAAGGGGGCCAGCATACCACAATCTGTTGTGTAAAGGTCTGCCCAACACGCTGAAGGCAGATACCCATTAGATAGCTGATGAGGAAACTCTTAGAGGCTTAGAGAGACAGCTGCTGGAAGGCATTACCTGGAGTCTGAGTTAGTGAACACACATCTGGATCCACCTTGATTGGCCTGCAGAGAGGTAAGCAGCAACTCTCAGGGAGTTCCTGTGAGTTCCATCTATTTAGTGAGGGTTCAAACCCACACTTGTCAGATGTCAAACGACCAACTAGTGATATTTGGCAACGGAACGTCAGAATTGAGCCAGACCTCTGTGACAGTCTCAGCAGTGCAGTTCCTGAGCCAGGCAGCTCTGCAGTACTCCAAAGCATTGCTGATGATAGCACAGCCATCACGGCCTATCGGGCAGACGAGCCACTGGGTACGGGGACTCCTCCACTCAGCTCCTGTTAACCCTGCAAGCCAAAGCCCCAAGAGTCCTACCTAGACAAGCAACGGTAAAGCTTGCCAGACAGTGCTATCAATGATAAGCTAAATGGTTTTAGCTGGTTAGACTCAGTACCCCAACGCACATCCTGAGGTCCCCAACTTGCACCTAAATTAGTTAAATAGGATGCGTCCTTCCAGGGAGCGAGTGCACATTCTATTCCAATAAATATCTCTGGAATTTCCATGTATAGGTAGTTGTTTGGAACTCTGTTTGGTTACTCTTAAGCACGGTGACGGATTTCCGCATGTGTCAGACACCCAGCTGACCAAAAAAAACTAAACTTTTCTTTAGATTCTTCAGTAGAACAGTAGACATTAAAGCTGTTTTACTGACTAAAGTTATCTAACTGATCTTATCACCATAACGCCTTTCTTTCCAAGTTGCCGATCTATGCTCATCATCATTTTATTTACTCTTAAGTATTGTGCTTGTCTCTCATTGCTTTTTAAACCTCTTGTCAAAATTAAACCCATTGTCATGAATTATAGCTGTTCCTCTCATCCCCAGTTGTCTTACATTTCATTTCATGTTCAGCTTTTTTTTAAAAAAACACTCAAAATCAACCTCATTTTAATGGGAAAAAAGGCAATTTCATTTATCTTGAATGCTAATTGCAGGCTTTCTATACCCAGAAAAATACAACACAAAATACACAATAAAGTCAGACAATGCACTCCAACTTATAAATATTGTATAATGTCACACTTGCAAAACACACTGAAAATATTATAGAGACGCATCTTAAAATAGATCGAGCTGCTTACCTTCGTGGAAACTACAAACATAGTGTACAAAAAGATGAGGTTGTGTCTAGTCATCGGAAGGTAATTCATTTCTTGTAAAGTAAAGAGGACAGCTCCAATTAGAGATACTTTTGTTGCACTATTAAGAAGAAATTGTATAAATTAATACATATTTAAACAAAAGTCCAATAAACATACCTATCAAATGATCAATGAACCAGATATACTACATGTTGCTTTAATTTTAGCCAAGAGAAAATTGATACATGAGAGTATTATTTTACCAAGTTTCCATTGGTCGCCAGCACACCTGGAAGAGCTAAATAGATTGTTGCGTTTGGAAGAGATAAATAATACTAATTGTTGTCTTTCACAGCTGGAACAGACTTCCAAAGATTTAAAAATTGAAACAAGAGTTCAAATATAAATAAAATGTCTTGTCACAAATGTAAATAAAATGACACAGTAGGAGTCCATTCCCCTGATTTTTTCGTGTCAGTGTTCACTACTCCAAGAAGCTATCCATCCTAATCGAAAAATGTTCCCTTTTTTCCCCATATTTCTTAAAGCCTTCCTCTAACTTTTTTGAAAGCATATATTCGGCTCAGTTCTAACAGCAAACCCTGGCAAATTATTCCAAACCCTCTACTGCAAATCATGTACATGCATGTCTGCACATAGGTCTGTAATTCATTCAACTATAAATGAGCAAAAATTAAGCCAGCAGCTCACACTCGAGAAATGTACACTGTATTCCACAAATTCTCCTCCACCACTCTAAAAAGAGGCACTGATCTGAAAACACTACCAACTACATAACTGAGACATTCATTTTCACTACATATACAAGTGGGATTACACATTTCACGTATTACATACTTCACTGAATTGCTGCTAATAATAGGAAGGATTAGACTTTATTTTAGTGCCTTAGATGGGAAGTGACTGTCTAAGCTTTGGGTACTAAATCTGCAGGCTGATACAAGAGTTGACAATTATTGGATTCAAATTGTGCCTTTTAGAACCATATAAATTTATAGCATAGAAAATAATAATAATCCTTGCATTTAATGTAGCGCCTTATCACTTCTTTGAGACACCTCAAAGCACTTCATAGAATATACTGTAAAGTGAATTGACTGTATATTTTGTGGGCAAACATGGCAGCCAATTGCGCACAGCAATATTCCAAACAGCCAAGAAGTAAATGACCAATTTTATTTGAAATTTGGAAATATGGAAAAACTCCCTTCTCTTTTCCAATAGTGCCATGTAATCTTTAACACCCATCTGAACAGGCAAGCACTGCGGGACACTACCCGCGTGAATACTGCTATATAAATGCAAGTTGTTGTTGTGGACTTCCGGGCATAGGGAATAAACACAAAACCTTCCAACACTGAAGCGAGAGTCAACTGCTAATCAATTTATTAATTCTCTGCACAGTCAAGTTATTCCCCCACTTCATAGAATCATGGAATTATACAGCACAGAAGGAGGTCCATCAGCCCATCGGATCTGTGCCGGCTCTTTTAAAAGAGCTATCCCAATCAATCCCACCTCCACGCTCTCTCCCATAGTCCTGCAAACATGTCCTCCCCAAATAATTATCTAAAATAATTGTACTCCTCGAATAATTATCTAAAAATTATCATGTCATACATGAAACGTGTAATACTATTTGCATGTGAAGTGAAGAGATGCACCTGCAGTTTTGTGTAAAGAAAGTAGAAGAAATACCAAGTAACAGTAAGAGAATGAAGCACAACAAAATCAAAGCATCCATAGTCAACACAAAAATGGAAGTGAGCCAAAATATTACAACAACTGGCAAAGGGTTTCTAAGGACCTACATCTTCAAGTCAGTTTATAGCACAGAATTGACAAGATGCTTGTCATCGTGAGCTGTCAACTCAACAGAATCTTGTTCCATAAAGCAAGCTCCAGGAAGTTACTTTGCAAATGTCTTGAAAGGAACCTCTGCATGTAGCCCTAATAAATGGCTTATACACACAAAAGATGCGCTCCAACTCTCCCTGCTGATTCTCAAACTATCACAGATGCAGTATAAGCATGCAACTCCACGACACAATTTGCCAACCTCTGTTTAGTAATAGACTGCCTGAAGGCTTGTACCTAAAGGGAGAAAAAAGCCTAGAGTAGCCAAAATAAACCTCACTCTATCTACATTGCTTCCTTTCAGAATAAGAAATGTAAGGTGACAGATAAAATATTAGCATTGTGATTTTTTGATACAAATGAAACTCAAATAATCCTAGGGAAAAGGACAGAAGGGGCTGTTATCTGTATTTGGAAGATAGTTGCTCGTAAGTGTAGGATATCTCTTTCACAAAGTAAAAGGCAATTAAGAAAGAAAGACTAATGAGTTAAAGACAGGAAGCAGGAAGGGAATGGAACAAATCAGTCTGGTTATGGTTAATGGATTGGAGTGCTCCCGAGTTACTAACATACCTGTGCTTTGCATTGAGAATTATTACAGTAAGCAATAAAGGTCATCAGATCTACAAGTTATTGAGTCTGTGTGAAATAATATTTTCTGAACTGTTTTTAATACAGTCCACATGAGCGATTATAATAACTAGCCTAAATGCCCATTAGCTGTACAATAGCATCCTGCTTATTCCACAATATCATTGAACAACAAAGTGAGAATCAATCCTTGTTTTGTAATCAATGAATGAGAGGTATGTTCAGAGTCGACATATTCAACCCCAGGGAATGATGCCTAAGCCGGAGTAGAGTTGATCACCAGCTGGTAAGCTTGGGTAGGGATAATCAAAATGCTGCACTAATAAATAACAGGAAAACTCAAAAGTTGTTGTCTGGTGTCAGACGATCTGCTGTTGCTGAAAGAAATACAAACTAAGGGAGCATTATAGAACCAGCTTTACATACAGCAAAGCAGCTCTTTGTGAGGTATTTCTTTCCTTGTGACTTATAAGTGAAGAAATTTAATTTCATAGCACCTTATTACATCAAACATCTCAAAAGGGTTGCACAGCTAATTGCGATCAAAATGTAGAAAATTAAATGTTATCTACCCAATAACATTTGGTAACACTGCAAGTGTCAAACCTTGTAAAGTATCAGATCATCTTGATTGGTTGTAACACGAATTCAGGTTCTTTGGGAAGTAAGCTGCGACCAAGTATTTTGAAGTAAATTGTTTTGATATTTGCAATATTTGTAAATCCTGTAAGTAACTAAATTTCCAATAAGCTTGTACCATTGTTATTGTCAATCTTTGTCAATTTCCTTTCTCAAAGACAGTTTACAACTGTTGATCAATTTAAATTCAACTTTGAACAAAATACATACTAGGGCATTTTCAGCAACTGATTTTTCTCAGGCATCCAGACACCCCTGACCAGTTGCTCAAAGTTAGACAGCAGACCAGAACCTGCACCTATGGAAACAGAAATTTTGCAATCAACAAATTATAATAAAGGTGTAATTTTTTCTTACAAATTATCACTTCACCTGCTGCAGTGAAACTAGTAAAACATACACAGAACAGTAAAACTCGCATAAGCCTTAACTTTATACATTGTATAATCACCTAAGTCATACATGAATCCAAGTCCATCCAGTTTCCTTTCAAAACCACTATTTATTTGCACTAGTCATATGAATAATTTCCTAACTCGTAACGCTGCTCCCCCATCGTCCATTACTCCAGCACTTACCAGTTGCATTCAATTCCAGGAAATGATGTTCTGATCCGTCAACACACCCACACATACTCGCCAGCTGCATTGAATCGCGGGAATTGTAGTCTTGATCCATCAACGCATGTGCAGAACAACTTCATTTCCCACGATTCAATGCGATTCCAATAAGGCGCACGTGGCGACAGGTCAAAACTACATTTCTCGCAATTCGATGCAGCCACATGCACCCTGACCAGCTGTAGTGACGAAGAACCCCATGCACATTTACCAGTTGCATTGAACGCAGAGTGAAGATTATTGATTAAATCTGATTTTATATACAAATTGTACAAATTTGCCTGTAATTCAGACTTCACACAAGCTTTATTAAATGTTATTATGGTCCAGAATGATACGACTTGTGAGTTTTGCAGTATTAATCTGCCAAAAATAGGAAGATAACCAAGCAAAAATTCTTATAATTTTCAATCTTAATTTCATCTGAAGATCATTATGCAAACTATAATTGTGTTTGGTCATGCAAGGAATCTGACACCAGTCACCACATGCACAGCAATTGCCCACAAACAGCGACAAAGTAAATCACACAGACCCCAAGAGAAACTCCCTTCTCTCCCTGATGATTCTCAAAGCTATCACAGATGTAGAACAAGCACGCACACTTCAAAGTCCCAATGCGAGGGTTCAACCCACAACCTTCTACCTCACAATACTAACAGCTGAGTCAGGTTGACTGACAGTTTCATCATATCTCGGCAAAAGCCAAGGCTTGGGGCCTTGGAATATGCACCGGGATAATGTTAGTTATACCAGTTTACCACTCTGAATACTGGCAAACGTTTCTGCTGCTTATCCAGGTATAAATTCAGTTAGTTCTTTGGCTTTTTACAGGATTAACAAGTGCCAGGTGAGAATAGCAGCCCCCAGTAACTGATCTGCTCCTTCAAGTCCACTAATATGCTAGGACAATAGTTTGATCCATCATTAACACAGCAAGGGCACTCTGCCCCTGCTTTGATACAAGACTACTTAGACCATTAGAGAGGAATGCCTCAATTCTGATCAGCTATTGCTAAGGGTGTTATATTGAAGCCATCCTACCCCCCCAGTAACCTATCAATTATGTCTGAACATAAAAAACTGATAGAATGAGTTGCACAAATATGGCTCAAGTTGTACAAGTTTAGCTCAAATATACACCCAACTTACTATGTAGAGTAAATCCTTTTACCTTCAACACATCAAGTAACTTGGTGATATTTTCCAATACGTAAACTTGCAAAACAGGTCTCAATAAAAAAAAACTGGATGAATTTTACATCCTCAAGAAAAAAGTCCTCTTACCTTTAGCCCATCCAACAGCTATCATGGCAAGCCACCCATTTCTGTAGCGGCTGTGTGCATCCATTACACCTCCAACTATTTTGCGGGCCCTGGTTACTTCTTTCATACCAGCTATAAACAACTTAGAAGGTAAAAAATTGCAGCACTTGTAGAACTTGTCATATGGACAGTAGAATATCAAATACCTAAAAATGTTGAAAAGCCAGAATAAGAAATATGGGAGGGATTCATTTCAAGACAAGGCCATTTACAATAGTTTGCTAAAGGAATCTAATAAATTTTAATCTTATCTAGATTATCTAGATATTATGTTTCCAAACAAATTACGATAATTATTTGACTTCCATTCCAATAGTTACTTTTTAACCACAGTATACTGAATAAAAATAAAATGGTTCATAAATCTAAATTAGAGTATAATTATTGAAAATATTTGTCCATAATTATATGCACTAAGCCACATCTTGCCACATAAATATACATTATTCTTTTCTAGATGCTATCGTTAGACTAAATAGCTGATATTGCAATCTAATTTTAATTCAGATGAGAATAAAATGAATGAAAGCGATAAATAAATTGAATACATTACAGGAACTTTAATCAAAACTGTTGACTCAAAAAACTGTCTTTTACCAAATCAATTGATAATACCTGTGACTGAAAGCAAGAGCGAATCTAATTAAGCAAGACAAGACACGACAAGATCCAAGTATATTTTTGCGTCAGTTTGCTTTTGATCAATTTTTCTTCATCAAATGCCATTTCTGTGGGCATTGACCACCAGTGCATTCTATACAGTATGCAGTTTTCTAATTACAACTCTAATTATAATATGCATATAAAGGGATTAAAAATTGCAACAGTTGTTAACTGTGTATGAAGTCAGTCATTTCGTCATCACTATTTTGAACTCTCATCTGCTCCCAGATCTCATGACTGCTTAGGTTGCTGTAAATTATAATTCCATTCAATGACATTTTCCTCACCCTTGCGTCACTATTACACTCAAAAGGAATACTTCCCACTATCAAAGTCACAAATGTGGAATGTGAGAAGTTGCAGATTTACATTTTTTATAAACTGCTTAAACTTATAGTTTAATAAGCTACAAAACTCCCATTACAGCCTTGTAATACATTATATGTATACATCATGTAAAAAACATGCACTGATATAGCTTTCTTCATAACACTTCGCAGACACCATATGGATCATCAAGCAAGATGGGAAGAGATGGATAAACGAGACTGTTAACTAAAAGTGAACAGTGAAAAAGGAAGTTTTGAAGGCAGGAAGAGAAGGTCCAGAGAAAAGGGATCTTTTAGACTTCTACATCGCGGGGTGTATGGTAGCTGAAATATCAGCCACTTCACACTCTTGGAGCAAAATGTGTGAGGAGGAGAATGGGGCTATAGGAAATTACAAAGGTAGAATGGGGCAAAAGCATGGAGGGATTTGAAGGTCACAATAAGGTTCTTAGAGTTGATCCGCTAGAGACAATGGAATATGGCAAAGATGGGTGATATGCACCATATGTGTAAGGGCATTTCATTATAGCAACAAGTACACTATAAATCTTAACACAATGAAACACTGGTTTTCAAAAAATTATGAGGGACATGGATGAAATTGTCACCTATTACTACACTGCTTTTAGATTGCAATCAGTATCATCTTCTCACTGCACCAAAAAAATTGGTAGATTATTTACCGTCCGTTGTCTTTACTCTTTGAATGAAGTTCAAGCTTCACATAGAAATAGGAAAGCTCCTCTACCAATAGAGTGGAAGGGAAGGAAAACATTGGGTAGGGAAAGAGGAAAAAATCATTCTCAGAAACAGTTTCCTTTAAACGTTGACACTTTGAGATTCAGGTGATCCAACCCAGCATAATTTTGACTGCATGCACATTAGTTCTTATCTAGCAAAAGCTACAAATAATTCAATTTCAATGTACAGGATAGTAATTAACTAGTGATAATCAACAATCAGAATGTGATAGCTGACAAAAATACATTTGAAAGCTGAATAAGCATTGTAGAAACATTAAAAAATGTGGTGTGGGAGTACTACCTTTAAAAAAAACTCCCAAATTTTGCTGGATCGTAAATGTAGATGAATAACAACTGGGAGGAAGTTATATCTGTGGAGGTTGAACTTCATACAAACAATGAGGAAAACTTCAGAAACAGTGATTAATATACCATTCTTCCTCATTGATTCATTCATTCAACCTCCACATTCAAATATGAAGTAAACAGCAATGCAAATTATAGTACTGGAGGTAGGTGTTTCAAGAGTCTTACCTTCAGGCCAGTTGAGTACCAGCCTGTCATCCTGAGAAGAGTTCAAAATCGTAAAACTTTCAGAAACAATGAAGACTCCAAGATGTTATCTTATTGTCTATATAGCAATTCTGCATTAGTTTACAGAAGTAGTCATGACCACTGCACTGCATATAATATCCTCCAGCCTTCCCTTGACATTACTATCACCCAGTAAACAAATAAGAAGCACGCCACCATCCAATTTGACAACATCTAAGTAAGAGATTTCCAAATCTCTCAAATGAGTGATAAGACCCTATATCAAATGCAATGATTATTATTCTTATTGTTACTATTAAGAGTTGGTATGTATAATATAAATAGGAAAACTACATTCTACAAAGTTACAAAGCATTAGACTTTCAGAAATGTTGGGAACATTTAGCTTTTAAGATTTCATAGTAAGCTTTTAAAAAGTAAGGACATTGGCGTATGTGAAACAAGTTTTGTTTCTGTATCTTGTAGGTTTGGTTAATCTAAGAAAATTAATTGTTTCAATAAAGAATATTCCAAGTAACCTTTACAGTAAGCGTTGGTCCAGATGTTAAATCTACAATAATGCTTATATGATACAAAAAAATTTTATATTGCGCCTTTCTCTGTTGGGAGGATGTCTCAAAGCGCTTCATAGGATTTACTGTAATGAAAGCAAACAATGGCCACTTCTTCTGGGAGGTTGTTCACTGGGACTCTTGAGAGAAATTCCCTTCACTTGTCAAATAGTCCCTTTGGATGCTTAATGTCTACCATGTTTTTAATTAAAAANTATTTTCTAGACTTTTAGTATAATTTTTTTTATGTAACAAAAGTACTAAAGTGTATGCCAACAACACAAATATAGAAAATCACCTAATTTTTAAGGTCATTTTCACTCTTCAAATCATAGGCATCTTGCATACACAGATGAAAAGGCTGTCTATCACAGAGAAGTTGGAGAAATCATGGTGCAATAACCCTACATAACTCTTCGACTCTTCTATTGAACGTGAGGTAGGGTTCCCTTGTGGACCTTTAATTTCTTTTATTAATACTAATTTGAAAGAGCATTAAGCGCTCTGTGAAAGAGAAGAGAATCTAGCATATGGAAGATGCCCGATTCAAATAGAGGCAACCCAATGTTAAATAATTTTCATTTCTCTTTCATTTTGTTATTTTAGACATTCTCCATTGCTGCTGATTATAAAATGTGATGACGTCTTCAAGAGTGAACTAGATAAATATTTAAAAGGAGCAAATTGCAGGGATATTGGGGAAAAGGCAGCTAAATGATTCTCCCGACAGGGAAAGGCGCTATATCAATTTTTTTTTGCATCAAATAAGCATTATTGTATGCATTATTGTCACTCCCTTTACGAACCCCTCCCACAGCATGGAAACACCCCTTGTCAAGGTGACAAATGACATTTTGTCCATCTGTGACCAGGGCTCCCTCTGTCTCCTCGTCCTCTCTGCCGACTTTGACAACGTGGACCACTCTATCCTCCTTCATCGCCTCTCCTCAACCTTCAAGGTTCTGTCCTTGAATGATTAAAATCTATCTCTCACACTTTGTCTCCACAACTGCTTCTAGTCCACACCTCGGTCCTCTCCTCTTCAACCTGTACATACTCCCTCTTGGTGACATCTTCCGCAGACATGGGGTCAACTTCCACATACACAGATGACATCCAATTCTACCTCTCTGCCTTCATCCTCGATTCCAGGACTACTGACGTGCTGACAAACTGCCTGTCAGACATCAAGTCCTGGATGAGAGCCAGCTTTCTACAGTTGAACATCAGTTCAGAACAACTAGGTTCTCCCGATTGGCTGACGCCAGCGCCTCCGCACCTCAGGCACTGGCAGCATCAGCATCCACGAATACACACTCCACCTCACCAAGCCAGTCAGGAACCTGGGCATCTTGTTCGACCCTCAACTGTTCTTTCTCCCCCACATCTGTGCCATGACACACTCTGCCTTACCCCAGTCCGCAACATTACCCGACTCAGCCACTGCTTCACCCCTCAGGCTGCCAAAACCTCATACATGCCTTCATTACATCAGGCTCGCCTATGTCAACTCCCTGCTTGGCAGCTTTCCCAACTCTTCCCTCCACAAGCAACAGATCATCCAGAACTCTGCAGCTCATGTCCTCTCCCACGCCAGGCTCCAGGACCTCATCACACCCAACCTCGCCTGGTTTTACTGGCTGCCCATCCCTCAAGAGGATCGAGTTCAAAATTCTCGTCTTCACCTTCAAGGCCCTCCGTGGCCTTGCTCCTTCCTACGTTTCTGACCTGCTAACTCTTATCATCCCATCCGCTCTCTCCGCTCAGCAGGCTCCGGCCTGCTCCATGTCCCCCACCCTGCCCACCATCAGCAGTCAGGCCTCCAGCCTCTCTGCCCCCACTTTCTGGAACTCCACCCCATATTCCCTTCGCTCCCTCCCTTGCCTCCTTCAAAGCATGCCTCAAGACATTCCTCTTTGACTGTGCACTTTGGCCACTCCTACCTTCTACCCTCCCTGATCCCAGCCACCCCCCCCCAGTCGGGTCCCAATCCCTGACTATTCAGCGCCTTGGACGTTCTTCCGATGCGGAAGGCGCTTTACAAATGTAATTTTGTATTGCAAATGGGATTGAATGGATTACTTTTTCAGAGAGGTTGCACAAACATGATGGGGTAAGTTGCCTCGTGGAGTCCTGTAGCTTGGTGGTTAGAGCACTCGCCTCGCAAACGAGAGGACCTGGGTTCAATTCCCGGGGAGGGCGAAACTTTGGGCAAGTTTCCTTACGCCACACACCTCTGTTAACCTAGCAGCAAGTAGGAACCCGGTCGTTAGTCGATTGGTGGATCGCTTTTCTGGGGGTAATAATTCCTTCGAAAAAAAAATTGGTCTTTCTATCCATGACTGTTTGTGGGACACTGATGTAGACAATTGGCTGCTGCGTTTCGCCCACAAATATACAGTCAATTCACGTCACAGTATATTCTGTGAAGCATCTTGAGATCTCGAAGACACGATAAGGTGATATATCAAATGCAAGGATTATTATATTATGCTATAAATTTCTATGGTTTCTATCCTATAGAGGATAGACTCCAGCCTTCATAATTGACTTAAAGTGTCCATTGTCTATGCAAATTTTGATAATAAGGTTTAATTTAAAGTATGACTTAACAAGAAAGACTTTAGCAATATTAATTGCTTAATAAAGATTCTGAGTCACAAAAATGGTCTATCGTGCAGGGCAGGAGGCAGACTGCACCATTCATGCGGCTCACAGACTAAATCACTGCACGACAAACTGATACCGACAGCATAAAATTCTTAGTCTGCTGTTAATCTTTTGTTAAGATAATCCCACTAGGTATAGGTGAAGAAGCCAGAAGCTATCTGAAAAAAACACTTCATCATGTTGCAATGGGTGGTCTGACGCACAATCTCAGTGATAGCATTCTCGCCTCCGAGTCAGAAAGTTGTTGGTGGTTCAAGCTCCACGTCGGGACGAGAAAAGAGAAGGGAGTTTCTCCCAGTGTCTTGACCAACAATCTCTCCAATATAAAAATGGGTCACTCACTCCATGGCTGTTTGCATGACATTGCTGTGTGTAACTGGCTTACAAATATGATGTATATGAATGTAAAGTACATGAATGTCACTAATACTGTGTGGAATTTCTGGGAACCAACTTTTAGTTGAAAATTAGTTGAGGACCAACAGCCAATGATAAAAAAAAGGAAGAGTCCTAAGAGAGCCTGGTCTTATATATAGGACCGATGTTTAGACACCACAGAGATCAAAAATGTGTTAAAGGGAGTTTTTCCCCTTCTCCAGTTTCCCAGCATCTCAATATTGGTGCAGTCTTGTTCCAGTGATGTGTGGAGGATGTTGAGAAAGAATTACATTGTTTTAAGTGTATTTATTATAATAACAACAATATTATAACCCTCGACTTCAAGATTCTCACTCTCATGTTCAAATCCATTCACTCCCTGGCACCTCCCTACGTCTCCAACCTCCTCACTTCCCACTCCACCATCTGGCGCCACTGCTCGACTGGCACCGACCTCTTGCTCGTCCCTTGCACCCTCAGCCCCACCATCGCAGGTCGTGCTTTCAGCCACTACACCCCAAAAACACTCGGGAACACTCTCCCTCAATCCCTCCACCTTGTTCCCTCCCTCCCCTCTTTCAAGTCCCACCTGAAACCTTTCCTGTTCAACTGTGCTTACAGCCACCTCCCCCCTCCCTCTGGGTCGGAGTCAGACTCCGCCACTGTTAAGCGCTCTGAGACGCTACCCTGGGTGGAGGGCACTAGGAGTGTAAGGTGGTGTTGTTGTCATTATTATTTGATTAAAATAATGAATGCAACTTTTATTTATAAAAAAGTTAAAAGCTACCAAAAGTAATTTACACTTACCAAATTACTGAAGCCAGGATTATATTTCTGTTGTTTGTGAAAGACTCAATAGGAGGTTCCCCTAGGAGTAAAGATGCCAGAATCGATCCACCAAAACAGCAAAGCATACCACTGAACCAACATGCAATAGGGCTTCGATGTGCAACATCTACTGCTCCTGGAACACAGAATATCGAAATACATTTTAGCAATAAAGTTGAAAGGTCATGTCTAAGCAAACAAAAGTAAAAACAGACTGTCAGCAATTCCTAATCAATGTTTATACTATTACTTTGCTCAAGATTTATGAAAAATAACATTCTGCCAGATCTGCCAAAGAATACATTTGATAACACGAAGAAAGAGAGAGAGAGAGAGAGAATAGGAGAGTGAGGAAACACAGAGGTGACTTTCATGTTACAATTCTGGCAAGAATCAAAATCCACATTGCAGAGATGAAGTGCGTCCCCTCCACTAACCTTTAACACTCTCCATTTTAATAATGTTGCTGCAGTTTCAGTTTGTTTAATATTTGCATTGTTAATTGCCCTGCTTTGGTTTTGATTACATTTCTATTTCATTTCTGGCATGACAAATATGAAAAACTCTTAAACGTGAGGGGTGGATAAATACATACACTTCTTCCTTCCAGTGTCTGGAACCTCTCCATTCAAGCAATGCTCGCCAAAATAGGTAAAAAGGTACAGCATAGAAGCATAAAGTTTCTCAGGGCAGGAACTTTCTAAACCTACTTTTATTTAAGGTATCATGACACTATCGGAATAAATGTATCCCAATGACAGCACTTAAGTTGAATCATCTGTTATTTGGATCTTGATGCGGACTACAAATAAGAACCAACCCTAAGTCAAAGGCAGTGACAAATGGCCTTAGAGATCTATTTACTACAAACGCATTTATAGTCAGCCAGGATCAAAAGTTGGAATAGCAGTCATTACTTCCACTGAGAATATGAATCCTCATACTCGTCTACAAATCCCTTCACACCCTGGCACCCTGCCTTGCCTCCTCATTCCCCTTTATCAAATCAGGCCTGAAGACCTTCCTCTTCATTCATGTTTACGGTCACCTCCTCCCTGCTCCCGGCTCTGCATCAAGCTATGCCTCCGTTAAGCGCTCCAAGACACTACCCTGCATAAAGGGTGCTATATAAATGCAAGTGTTGTTGTTTTTAGCCCACATTGTCTGTATGTATCATTGAGGCAAAAACTGAGCAGCTACCTTTACAAGATATCTGAGAATTTAGCCAGCTACAAACAAAAATGGCAGCAGGATCCTGCCAACAACAATGTTTGCTGCTGCCACTGCCTGTAACACTTCTTCTCAAAGTGGACATCAGGTTCTCCAGAGGCATCAGCACTATCTTATTTTCAAATTACAGTACCGATAGATGTTTTTTAAAGTGATAAATATGATTTTATGCACAGAAATCCAACACGTTTATAATCAAATTATAATAATAATTCCTGCATTTGATATAGCACCTTATTTAATAATAAAGGTAATAATCCCTTCAAAAAATAAAAATGATTTAATCACTCAATTCACAACTGTTTGTGGGACACTATTGTGCACAATTGTCTGTCGCATTTCACACATAAAATACAGTTACTACACTTTACAGTATATTCTGTGAAGTGTTTTGAGACGTCTTGAAGACGTGATAAGGCGTTTTGTTAAATGCATGGATTATTATTATTGCATCATTGAAACATCTTAAAAGTGCTTTTCCAGGATCCTACTGTAAATGTAGTGAACGTATTTGTAAGCAAACTAAGACTTGAAAGGTAGATGATGCTTTCATTTGAACTTTTAAATCACCACTGGGTCTTTTGGATTTTGAGCATCTATAATAATACCTAGGAAAACATGTTTCAATAAAACACCTGCAATTCCATAAAACTGAAAGACCTGACTTAAGTATATACAAGAAGTGCAACAGTTTTGTATCCAACTGCCTTTCATTTCTTTCTAAAATGGTCAAACAAGCTTTTGTAATATGCAGCATGAATTTGCAAGCTATCATTACTATAATGCAAACATCCATGATACATTTTGAAACATTTCTATGATAATACAAATATGAGGTCGAAATGGTACTTTGTGTTTTTATTTCTTATACAAACAAGTGTCTCTCTCATCACCACCCCAGTAAAACATAGGCCGTATCACAAATATAATACAAAACAAGTCTTTCAAAACCACTACTAATGGTTAATTAATAATCACAGAATTTACTGCCACTCATATATTTTTCAATTCTGATTTTCTTTAGAAAGCATAAAACCTAAAATTACATACCTGGTGATGGTATGGTTAAGTTCATAAGCTCTAGTGCCATCTGCTGGTGATGCGCAGAGTACTTTGGATGTTGAGAACTAAAATAAAATTAATGATGCACCGTAGAAGTGTGATGGTGCATTTGTTCAGTGCATACATCTTAATTAGATGGGTCACTGAAGCAGCTTGAGGACTACTAAGCTATCAATGTGTCTTTGGGAAGGGAGGCTAAATCCTTGCATTTTCTTCATCAATAATTAATTCGGTCTCACTCTCTGTTACCCATGGAGCTGAGTAGAGGAATTGGTGTGGGTTTCAATGTGATCATCTTGGCTGAGGGCTGTTGAATGTTGTCACCCAGATACAAGCATAAGAATGACAACTTAGTGATGAATAGGCATCGATGGAATCAATGCCTTCTAATTACGTGAGAGCCTACCCTTTGCATGCAATCAGACAAACTCGTGACTATCCTCTTTGGAGTGGGGATGTTGAGCAGTGTCCTTGGAGCTGACTTGGCTCCAGGGTGACATGTTGTCAACGGAATGTAGGAATTCAGTTTCTGAACCAGACAGACCTGCAGTACTCTGAGGCGCTGCTGGTGACGGCCCGGCCAATCTGGCTCATCAGCAGAACCTGGAAGGGCAGATCAGTCACTGAGTTAGGGACTCTTCCCAATCAGTTTCCGTTAAACCTGCGAGCCAAAGCCTTAACAAGTAGGGTGGTCCTAGCTGGAGAAGCAGCGGGAAATCTTGCCAGACAGTGCTTTCAATGGCAAACTATGTGTTTTTAACTGGTTAGACCCCAGCATACCCCCAACACATACTCCAGGGTCCCCAATCCTTGGCTCTTGCCAACCTGTGCCTAATACTTTCCGGAATTAGGTAAACAGGATGCAAGTCTCCAGGGCAGTGGGGGCCAATCTTTTAGTCGACCAACAAAATCAATTTTCTTGATTGAATATTTCTTGATTTATGGCATAAATCAAGAAATAATCAATCAAGAAAAACCTGGA